CAGTTCTCCCTTGAATAGGCCCCTATATATATATATATATATATATATATATATATATATATATGAGCGATCAAATGAAAACCACCCTCATTTGTAAAAACCGTACAAACCACTTTTATACGTCGATTTCATTGTTTAATCTTATGAAATTTTTTCATGAAATTGTTTAATCTTTGTGAAATTGTTTCATATAATAATTTTTTAGATAAATTTGTTTCATATATGGTTATGAAATTGTTTCATATAATATTTAATGAAATCTTAATGAAACTGTTTCATGTATTTCTTTAAAATTAAAATAATGAAAATGATAATATCCATGATTAATACTCTCCACAACAAAAATGGTTAATCAACCTCTCATAATTACAAAAAAATGAACAAAATGAAAAATTATGATTAGTTGAATGAGGTTTTCACGGTTTTTACAAATTGAGTGGTTTTTATTTGAACGCTCCCCTATATATATATATATATAGAGAGAGAGAGAGAGAGAGAGAGAGAGATTTGGGATCATGTGAGACCAAAGGTTTTTCGTAAGACCCGTAAGACCAATTCTCAACCCTTAGATTTAGATCTACAATCTGAACATTCATAATCACAAAATTGCCACGAGACTTCTCAATAATCACAAAATTGTCACCGTGCAACTTTAGATTATTAGATCATTAGTTTATAAAGTTGATCAATGAACATAAATTGGTCTTACGGGTCTTACGAAAAACCCTTGATCTCACGTGAACCCAACCCTATATATATACATTTTTTGTCCACACCTAGCACTATCATCCATAATATTAACAAATACTATAATTTATATTTTGAATTCAATTGATATTTACATAACCACTATGAGGTATATACACAATTTGAGAAATAAAACTCTATCCTAGAAATTACAAAATTAATAACTCTATCTTAGAGATTACAAAAATAATTACATGAGATTTGTTGGCAAATGTCCTGACTCACGAAGTAAGTTTTAAACCCGTAAGACCTCGACAGTAGTTGCAACAATGACTCGATGCTCGGCGTCAGTTGATGATCGAGCAAGTGTTCATTGTTACGGGAACTCCAAGAGATAGGACTGCAACCGAACTAAACAATATAGCCAGTTGTAGAAATATAGTTATCTTTATCACTAGACCAAAAAGCATATGAAAAGACATGGAGAGTAGCGGGGGAGACTTGACGAAGTAGTAAACCTTGAGTGACAGTTCCTGCAAGATAGTGTAATAACAGTTTTTATCAATTAAAAGCTATTAATTGATAAAACGACTTCTGCAATAGAAATTCAAAGTTTAAAAAATTCAAAAGAGTTCATGTATCTTTTGGGTTAATCATTGAAATATACGAACAAAATATTGAAAGTTAAATAGGTTAACATGAGATAATTATATATTAAAATTTGTTCGTTAAAATAAATAATTTTTTTATAGCGAAAAATATAATCATGTTTTAAAAGTTAAAATATTAAATTGAATTATCAAATAATTTGAACCAAACTATAATAATTAAATTGATATAACCATAAAAAATATCATAACAACGTAATAACTATAAATATCTCATATAGTATAAACAATTTCTTTATAGTTGCTTGGATGATTACCTATTACTTTTGTAGGATTTGACAATAGTTTTTGCTAATTTTTTGAATAATCGGTGTTTTTTAAATCTTAATTTATTTGTATTTTTATTTTGTTGTTATTGCTAATTTAATAGTTTTTAAAAAGAAATATAACTTTTTTATTTAATATTTACTTTAATTTAAGAATTTTGATTTGTTATTGGATATTGTCGAAGTGGGGAGGTTGAAAAGAAATTCAACAAATATTAAGATAAAGAATTACAGATTTGTTGTAGAAGTTGAGAAGGTAAGACATGATCCTAAACAATCTAACTGATGACAAATTTACTAACAACTGAAAGACTAAGAGAGAAATACACTCTTTCATATCTGATATACTTAGATAGTTTCTCAGACATTGACGCCAATTTTGCCAAAAAAAAATATCACTTAGAAGTTCTTTCAAAATGGGCGAGTTACAACATATGATAAGGATGACCTTTTATACTCACCATTGCATTAAATGCTGCTTGTCAAATTTAATACATGTCTTTATCTGATTTGATAATCCATGCATGTTTGTACTTTTTATTTTAGCTTTTAAAGTTGATGTAGACACTTGTTAACCCAACCCATTCTTCTGTATGCAAAGTATTTTAAAACTTACTTTGGCTAACATGATAAACATATTCGCATACTAGGATGAGTGTTGGTAGAGTTGGTGAACTAAACTTGCCTGATTAGTTTGTACTCCAAAATCCGACTTGTCAATAGTAGTTCAGACTATTATTTGATTTTATCTTGTATTGGTCTTCTTTCGGCTAGATAACAAACCAATCCACTTTGGTGACGATCTTGACCACCCTTCAACTAGTCTTGGATTTTATTAAAGGCTTTTTCTTCTTGGATCAGTATAGATAGTTGCAAGATTTTAATAAAGAAATCCTATCTTTTCTATTCCAAAATATAAATTATAGATCAATTTTGAAGTAGGAACATTGGATGTTAGAGTAACTTAGAGTAATTTGTGGGTTTTTGAGATCAAGATTGATCGACGATGTTAATAGATTAATCAGATTCTTCCATTTGGATGGAGAATCATCAAGTACGAGGTCTGATCTCACATATTTATCTAAGCTATAGATCTAAAGGTGACGAAGATCCGAAACCTTGAGCTAATAAATTACTTTGATTAGCAAGGTTCAGATGTTAATACACTTTGTGTCAGATCTGATAAATGTTGTATATCAGATATGGACATTACAAGACATATATTAAGAATTTCCTTCTAAGTGTTAAACTACAAATCCGATGGTTGAGACCAATAGATGTATAAAACATTTCTAACAAAAAACTAAAAAAAACGTCAATCACAACAAATCATAGATCGAGTTACAATTTTGGTCCCTATAGTTTGCTCATATACTGATTAGTTCCTCACAGCGGTTGCTAACTGACAGTGTTAACTCTAGGGATCTTGAATGTTAAGAAAATGAAAATTTGGGGAGTATGAATGTAGATAGTTTGTTTTAGAGATCAAATCTAAATTTTAAGCAAACCTTTGGTGCACCAATGTAATTTACCATTTGAAAAATATGTTCCAAATCTTTTCCAAAATATATTTAAGAGTAAATTATGTATTTCGTCCCCGTGGTTTTGAATTTTTCTTAGATTTAGTCTATAGAGGATTTTTATTCCAAATAGGCCATAAAGTCTGCATTTTCATAACTCTTTGACCATTGCCGTTAATGGTCTTAATGACCATTAACGAGTATCCGTTAAGTGTGAGACATTTTTGTTAGAGCCTTTTTT